GTTGGCTGTGAGGCGGCTTCTGTGAGGTGCCGATTGAGCGAGCGAGCGGGCGGGCGTGCGGAGCGGCGAGCGCAGCGCGGGATCTGCCTGAGTGCGAGCGGCGAGCGACGGCGGCGACGCCATGAGCGGGGGCACTCCTTATATCGGCAGCAAGATCAGCCTCATCTCCAAGGCGGAGATCCGCTACGAGGGCATCCTCTACACCATCGACACCGAGAACTCCACGGTAGCCCTCGCCAAAGGTACGGCGGGGCAGGCCTCGGGCTTGGGGAGCGCGGGCCGGGCGCCCGGCGGCCCTCGCGCTCTTCTTCCTCAGGGGAGGCCGCTTCCTCGCTCCCGGTCCCCCCAGCGACGAGGGCCCGGGGCGCGGCCTCTCCCGGTTACCCGGGCCGCTTCCTTCCCCGGAGCTCCGCGCCTTCCATCCGGGAAACTCCGGGAACGAGTGCGCGGCGCCCGGGGCGGGGCGCTCCTGAAGTCCCGGGAACCCGCCGGAGAACACACCCAGGTTCGTGGCTTCCGAGACCGAAATTCGGCCGTTCCGTCTTCTGACCCGCGGAACAAAGCCGGAGGAGTCCAAGAATCTGTCCGCCTACCTTGAGTTGAATGCGGATATGTGGGTTCCTCGGCACCCATGTTTCTCAGCGTTCTTCGTCTCGGTTGCTTGCGACGGTGCTCGAGTGAAGTCCCGAGCAGGGTGCTCAAAAGTTTGGGTTTGCGCCGCAGACGTGTGCACGCCATGGGCCATTGGAACGGTCGAGCCGATCGCATCCGGTTTCTTTCCTCCGTGATTGTTACCTGGTAAACCGAAATTCTGGTGCAAGCATCTCTTTAGGGTGCACGTTAAAATGCTTGCTTGCTGTCCCCACGGCCCTCTTTTCTGGAACCCTGGTAGAAAGGAAAAGTTCACGTTTGATGATCCAGGACTCTTGTGCACGATTCAGATCCAGTATTTTCGGGGCGCTGACCGGTTCCGCTGGACGTATTCCACGGGTAGAGGGTATTGAGTTAAAGAAAGGGGACCATCCCTACCCCATAGCGTTTAACGTCCGGACAGTCTGTGAGTTTTGTTTCCGTTCACACGTGCTGGGCCTTTGCCAGGAAAGCAAAAAGAAAATAAACTTGAGCTTCAGATCTTAGAGGAAGCCCTACAACGGCTTGTTATTTTCCCCACACCTGGTGGAATTTTAAGACCCGCGTACTACGCTAGGAAAAGAAGTCTGGGGATAGGAATGGGAGAGTCGTTCCAGAGTACCAAACAAGTTTTAATGACCCATTTTCAGATGTTTTGGTGAACCCTTTTAACAGCATTTGTTTTGGGACAAATGGACGTAGGCAAGGAAATTTTTTATGTAGGTGAACCATCCCTGATAGGGATTAAGGGTTCCGTCTGATGGGCAGAGCTCTCACCTAGAAAGTGGGAGATCTGAATCCCATCTCCAATACCAGAAGAGCAACGCTTTAAAAAGGTACACTATAAAAGAGTAGGGTGGTATTTTCCACAGTTGCATCATGGTGATACTTGTGTAATTTTTAGCAATTTGCTTTTAAAACATCCTTGAATCTGACACTTGAAAAGTTAAGAAGCCTGCTTTTAAAAACGCAGAATGAAGCCTGGCATTCTGCCTATAGCCCCAGCTATTCCAAAGGCTTCTTGAACTAAGGAACTTTGGGGCCTGCTTAAGCAATACAGGTGGGTCTTCTTAGAAAGCAGATAAGTACAGGTATCTCAGTTGATAAGAGTGCTTGCTTATCGTGCATAAGATCCTGGGTTCAATCCCCAGTGAGAAAAACTGGGTGTGGGTGGTGCATGCCTGTAATTCCACTAGAGAGTTGGAGGTAGGAGGTCAGGCATTCAAGATCTGCCTGGTATACATGAAAGCCTCTCAGAAAAGACAAAAACTGAAAAGCCAAGAAGTACCCCGTATCTTCCTCTTTGCCTTGTGGAATACTGTACCACATCGCCTGCTTTCATCTTTGTAAACACTCACTGTACTTCAGGATGTATGACTCTCTTTAGTAGTTATTAAAAGACTTGACCAATGATGTGAAACTGGGAATGGTGGCACAGGCCTTTGTCCCAGCATTCAAAAGGTAATGGCAGGTGGATTTGAATTCCAGGCCAACCTAGTCTATTTAGGGAGTTCCAGGCCAACCAAACTACTTAGTGAGACCCTGCTTCAAAAACAGCGAGAAAGGCTTGCCTGTAATGTTTCTTAATTTAGTTTTGCTTGCTTTTTTTAAAAATCTACTTCTTACTAGTGGAGCTTTTTTATTCATAGGGTTGGTTTTATTGATTTTTATTAAAGTGTGGAAAAGGCTCTCTGAAGTTCTTGGTGCTCTCACCAAGTGATCTAGACACTGGTTGAGAACAGTATTTCTCATTAAAGTGGTTTTATAGAGGTTTGGGGGTTTATTTGATAGTCTCATGTAGGTTGGGCCGGCTTCAAACTGGATGTACAGTCAAAGATGACTTTGAAGTATTGATGTGCCAGCTTCCACTTTGAACTCCTAGTCCTCTAGCCACCACCTAGGTGCTGGAATTAGAAGGCATAGTAACTTTTTGAAAACGTTTCTAGTTATATGTGTGTGGTCTGTGTAGTGATAAGCACTACAGTATAGGTACTGACAGAAACCACTGGGTGTCAGGTTCATTAACCCCACCCCCAGCTGGAATTATGGGCAGTTGTGAACCACTTGCCACTCGCCAGGTGCTGGGAATCAAACTCTGGTCCTCTGGTATGCACTCTTTTTAACAGGTGAGCCAAAAACGTTTTCTAAGATTTATTTCTCTATTCCCTCTGGGTTGGTCCGTTAGTCATTTGGTTTATTTGAGATAGTCTGTTAGTCTTGTAACTCAGGCAGTCCTAGACCTCTATATAACTCAGACTGGCCTTGTAGTGTCTGTCAGGGATCCTTTGCCTCTCCCTTCAAGTATTGGTACTGCAGATGTAAGCCCCATGCCCAGCCCTTTTGGTTTTTTGAGGTAGAGGTCTCACTGTGTGGCCTACTCTGACCTTAAACATGATATTCTGCTACTTCCCACTCAGTCTTTTTTTTTTTTTTTTTGGAGGCAGGGTTTCTCTGTAGGTTTGGAGCCTGTCCTAGAACTAGCTCTTGCAGACCAGACTGGCCTCGAACTCACAAAGATCTGCCTGCCTGTGCCTCCACTGCCCGGCTAATTCAGTCCATTTTTAAGATTTTGAATGTATTAAGTATTTCTAAATTGTAAACCTAAAAAAACTTTAATGACCCAAATTTTTAAAAAATGTGTCTCTTCAGCAAAATGTTAGAATAAAATATTGGGCATTTTATTAGTTTCTGATTATTTAATTTATATCTATAAAAACATTGTTATTTAATCCATATTTGACATACGATTTTTCCTTAATGTCAAAAACTTAACACCTCAATTTTCAAAATGAGAAGTTGGGCTCTAGGGGGTGGCTATAGCCTATGAGGTGCCTGGCGGCCTGAGTTCAGTTCTTGGCACTCATGGTGGAAGGAGAGAGTCAGCGCCAGCAGATTGCCCTCCGATGTCCACATGTGGACTCAAGATACATTTAATATGTTTAACCTTTATTTTTATTTTATGTGTGTGGATGTTTTGCTTGCGTATATATGTCTGTGCACCACATACATCCTAATGCCTATGGAGATCAGAACTCTTGGGACTGGAATTACAAGTGGTTATTAGTTCTGGAAGAACAACTATGCTCTTAACCCCTGAGCCATCCTCCAGCCCCCAAAATAATATTTTTTTTTCTTTTTGGTTTTTCGAGACAGGGTTTCTTTGTAGCTTTTGTAGCCTGTCCTGGAACTAGTTCTTGTAGAACAGGTTAGCCTTGAATTCACAGAGATCCACCTGCCTCTGCCTCCCAAGTGCTGGAATTAAAGGCGTGCGCCACCACCGCCCGGCTCCCCAAAATAATTTTTAAAAGTTATTAAAGAGCTGGAGAAATGACTCAGCTAGTAGTAGCAAGCACAACGGTTAGAACTTTGTGTAGATAGAGTGTTTTATTTTGGCTTTTATTATTTCCACAGGTTTGACTATTTCACAGTTAATACTTCGTTTATTTTCAGCTTAGGGCTATTCAGAACAATGCTTTTAGGAAAATTAGTGTTTAAATGCACTGATTTGTTGAAATCATTTTCCGGGGAACACACGCACATACTTAAAATTTGAATTGCAGAAACACAGCGAGTGTATTCTTTACTAAGTGACACTAAGCAGTTTCTCTAGTAGGTGCTTACTAGTTTTTATTTCAGTAGTAAGAATTCTGGTTCCATGTGCCTCACCAACAACAGTACTAAGTGCCATAATTATAATTCTTAGCAGCTATAATCTGGTGGGTAGGTAGTTCAATGTGGTTTTTATTTTTATTTTTTTATTAATCAGATGTATTTGTAGGAACGTCTGTGCATATGAGTGCAGGTGCCTACAGAGGCCAGAAGTGTGGCCCTCGTGGAGCTGGAGTTACAGGTGGTTTTGAGCCACCTAATGTGAGTGCTATTAACCACTGAGCCATCTTCAGCCCTTGAATGTGATTTTAGTCCCTATTTCTTTGGCCACTAATGAGTTTTGAAGGTTTTCCAT